TAATCAAGAGGAACTCCCTGGAAATGCCCAACAGCTTATGTGTATTCTGTCAGCAGCAAGAAGAAACCCTAGATCACTTACTCACATGCGAAGAGATACAAGAACTCAAAAAGAATATATGGCGTCAGGCTAAAGATAAACTCATATCAACATGGATTCCACAACACTCTAATAAAAAAGCGGACGGGAAGCAGTCAGCAATAAACACACTCTTCAGTAAATGGGAAGGAAAATCCAACTCGGCCAAGGATTTAATCAATGTAACCATTGGTCTTTGGGCAAGAGAAGATATAGAAGAATGGACCAATACTCTTCAGTCACTCAAAATCCCCAAAGTCAAATCCAGGAGAATCCTAAACAAACTCTCAAGCTTCTGATGTGAAAAGATGAGACACCTGATCTGGAATCCAAGATACGAAAAGGTCCAAGAGCGCAAAAAGAACTTCCAGGGAAAAGGTAAAAGAAAAGAGATTACCTCACCCAAGCAGAAGCATAGAGACATGCAAAACTTTCAGGAGAAAAAAAGAGCATCGCCGCAAGACCCCTCAAGTTCAAAAGTAGGGACAGCACAGTCATCTACGGCAGTCAGCCCAAATCACACACCTGGACTCATGAAAGTACTCTGGGATAAGATAAAAGAAGGGAAAAAATGGCTAGGAATATAAAGTAATCAAGATTTTGCCAAGGTAAACTGTAGTGATGAACTGCAGGCAATGAACTTGAGTTTCCTTAGGAATAGGAAACAAGAGGGAGCAACTTTATTCATCTCCAAGATCATATCTAGAGGTTAACTACCTAAGACGGATATTCAAGTATAAGTAATTAGTTTATGCATAAAAGTCATATATGTACAATTATTTCTTCTTTAAAAAGATTAAATAAATATAATAAATACTTGTTTGATTACGGGAAAAAAAAAAATATATATTTTGTTTATTTATTCTATGATTAATGTGATTAATCAATTTGTGATTAATCAATTATCTTTCAGAAAATCTAGTGTAACCAAAAATTCAAAATCAAATTAAAATAAGCAAAATTCCTTAGAAAAATTAGATAAAAAGAAATATACTTGAAAAAAAAGAAGTAGAAAGTTAAAAAAATAATAAAGAAATTGAAGATTTCTTTTTTTTATTTTTCTGGATTCTTGAACTTTTTAAAAATCTTTAAAAATCATTTTTTCTTATTAGTTTTTTTTTTAGAAAGATGTTTTTATTATAAAACTTTTAGATAAGTTTCTTGTATTTAATTATAAAAATAAACAAAAAAAATATTTTGAAAAGAAAAAGTAAACAAGTAATAACTATTGCTTGCTCTGCTGATTAAAAAACCAATATTGTTGTTATTAAAGAAAGTGTATAGATTTTATTATCATAAAAATATAAAATCTTTTGAGAACATCTGTTTTTGAATTGACAAAAGAATCAGTGAAAAGAATTTATCTATGAAATATTGTAATTATATTATATAGATTGATTTCTAGGTTTATACTGTAACATGATATATGGCAATGAGATAGTGAAGGTGCCAGAATGATTAGCTTGTTGCATGAAGACTTTTTTAATTCAAATAATTAATTTATTATACAATTACAATAAGCAAGCTTTTACTGTATATCTATGTATTTTTATTCATTATAAGAAAAATCAGTGATAGGAAATTATTTGATACATGGATTAGATAAAAAAAAAAAATCATTGAAAACCGATGTTTCTAACCTTGTTACACTACACGGGTTTTTTAAAACAAATTCATATAATTACTTGTTGACTAAGCTTGAACATACGGTACATTGTAAAAAAATGGATTTTATTTAAATAATTTCTTTTTTTATAATGATTCATCTATTCTTTTCATTAAATTAAACAACATATAAGATTTATTAATTACGAACTATAACGAACCAAATTAAAAAAAAATATGGTGTTACATTCTCATACTTGCGCTAAATTAGTTTTAAATTAACAATAAAGTTGAATAAAATTTTTCCCTGATCGACAAAGTGTCAATAATACATATGTTAGAACTCAAAACCCGTCAAGAATAACCTAGTTCATCTACTCCGTGTTGATGCATGTATATAAAGGGAACATTGTTTTAAACGGGACTTGTCAAATTTGGGTTAAAATCCCACTAATAGTTTGAGTTAAAAGCTCGAATGAAAAATTCCGACTATAAGAAATGCCTTCTTGGCTCAGTTGGCAGAGCGTCTGCCTAGTAAGCAGAAGGTCAGCGGTTCGATTCCGCTAGAAGGCAATTCCACCCCTGATTCGTTAGGATCATGCATTTAATTTTTTAACTTTTTTTTTCTGAAGCTTAAAAATTTAAATTCGTGCGTGCATACATGTGTGATCGTGCAACATTCAATAATGCATGCCTAAAATTATTATATCAGTACGATTATTATATTTTACTAAAAACGGTTACATTTTTTTTTTTTGGTAGTGAAATTAGTAGAAAATATTTTTTAACAATTTTTTTTAGAAAAAGTATTAACAAGAAAAAAAAAAAAAAAAGAAAATAAATGTTCATTCTCCTGATACCAAGTAAAAACAACCACCATCGCAATCCCACAAATTATTCAAACCGACGATTGCCCTACCCTTCAAAGATCAAATTAACACCGGATGGATTTTTTTACACTCGCAAAGAAATGATATCCCTCTTAATTTACACACAAAAAAACAACCACAATTTTCACACATAATGTCCTTCACACCATCGTCCATAAACCACCCGATTTCCATAATATTCCAATAACCATTCTTCATCTTAAATAAGAAAAACCATGACTTTCTCACATGTGCCTAACAAACACAGACTGTGTGGGCACTGTGGGTATTACCATTGTTGGAACCATGCTGGCTCCGCCACCATCAAGGCCATTCATTCCTGTTAAGCTGGTGGTCATTCCTATGCTCATTACACTGCTAGTTCCGTTAGATGATGAATTCGCGCTACTATCCCACAAACCTGAAGATGGAACAGCGACAGAAGATGATGTCCCATTGGTATTGGAGGAACTGTTACTCACGTCAGCCGAATTTGTTGAGGAAGAGCCTAATATATTACTTTTACCACCGTTATTCTCAGCTTCCACCACCACCGCTACATTATTGGCTGAGGAAGATGGTGGACGAACCAGTCCATTGGTCACACCGAAGGCGGTGTGATTGAATGAAGCTGAGGCGCTACTAATGTGTGCTTGGTAGTGGCCTCCCATGTTAACAAGTCCGCTACCAATGGCGCCAGGATGATGATTGTGATTATGCTGGTGCTGGTGGTGTTGATGAAGAGGATGGTGAGTGGCGGCGACAACTTGATGATGATGTTGCGGGTGATACGCGGTGGGAATCGGTGGTCGGTGGTGAGGATGAGGCGGATGGAAAAATAGTTGTTGAGGAGTAGGACCAATATGTAAATTCGTGAAAGAAGAAGCTAGACTGTGGAGAGTGTTATCATTATTTCCTGCACCGTAATTGTTATTTTCGGAAGATCCGTTGACGCTCGTTCCAACGATGCCATTTGTCGAGTTTGAAGCCCCAGAATAGCCTACAGAACCCAAATTAGAAATTGACGACGTGGTGGTAGTTGACTGAGGGGAATGATGTGTTTTTCCAATCGGACCAAATCCGGAAAATTGGGTCGCAGGCGCAGTTTGTTGCTGATCCTGCGACACATTTTGTGATGAATTCGTGGAGGTCACAACAACATTGTGCTGAACGGATCCGGCGGTGGCTGACACAATCTGCATCGGCTGGAACGGTGCCGAACCGTTCACAGTTGAATTATGCTGGCTACCGTGGTGCGCCAATGGATTATATGTAGTAGGAAAAGGGGGAGGGCTAGTTAGAGGAGGAGTGGCCAAGGGTGGCGAAAAAGGACCTATATGTGTGGGAGGCATAAAGTGAGGATGAATTGGTGGCGGATGGCCTAGATGAAAGTTGTGATGAATGTTGGTTATTAATGGAGGTCGATGGTGCGGATGAACGGCCGGTGCCAAATGTACTGGGTGGTGAGGCGGATTATGAGGATGCGGCATCGGAGGCAATGAATATTTGTCGAAGTGAACGCGTAAGGTTCTCCCCTGAAACTCGTAGCCATTATACAATTCTGTCGATCATGATGCATAAGCACAATGGTTAGCCCGTTGATTCGATCCAATGTGTGATATCTCACAAATGTGGAAGCTCATGCTTACCGACAGCACGCCTGGCATCCTCCGGCGTGGCAAACAGCACGGTCCCAAAACCTCTACTTCGACCGTCGTAGCTCGTTGAAACGTCGGCTCGAATGATATTTCCGGCATTGCGAAAGAGATCCTTCAAATCTTGCCATTGGCAATTAAAGGGAAGCTAAAGTAAAGAATAGGTTAAATTTTGTGTGGCGGTTCTAATAAGTAGAGTTTGACTAATGTATGTGCGTAGAATGAGAAATTCATACATTTCCAACGAAAAGTAGTCTTCCAGAAAAATTATGCTGCGGTGCCTGAATTCCTCTTGTGGGCTAAAAATGCGTGATATTTATCATTAGAAAAGGAGTGATGAGAATGCCAGAAAGTTGTGCAAACACCAAATTCCTAATAAATGATATTTGCGTACAAAGTAAATTCCAGCCGGACCAATGATCGGCGCACTTGGGGCATATGGTGGCTGAGGATGGGGACTATGATTCATCACATGCTCAACGGTTCGACGAACATTCTCCTGCATATAATTATTATTACCAACATTATTACCAGAATTTTCACTCGCACCATTTGTCTCACTGAATCCTCCTCGGTCTTCGCGCACTTCAATGATGCGACCCAGCCAATTATAGTTGTTAAACATGACTAAACAAATTGACGGTTGTTGAGTTGCGAAGGTGGAAAAAGGGCAGCGGCATTAATAGCAAAATTAAACGATGATCCAATTACCAATGGCCTTCTTCGCATCTTCGGAACTTCCAAATAACACGGTTCCATGACCCTTGGACCTGTTGTCATAGCCCATTGCTACATCAGCACGTAGTACCGTACCGGCTTTTCGGAACAAATCTTTCAAGTCCTGCCATCTCACGCGAAATGGAAGCTTTCGGGTGAAAAAAAAAAGGTTGAACGCCAACGTGAAAGATGTCAAATTAAATTTTAATGCCTATAACATTCCGTCCCGGAACTTTTTAATTACAACCGTGATACCTACATTTCCGACAAATAATTGCCTCTGCAAATTCGACGATGCAGTACCATTTATCCCGTTTGCACCATTCCCCACGGTGGAATTACTTGCAGTGGACTCATCGACATATTTTGTTCCGTTGAGAGTTATGCCACTCAGATCAAGGTTCTCATTAGTCGAGATCGGGTAATCAACTGGAGAAGGTGCTGTCTGCGTTGACGATGTGGTACCGTTCATATCATTTGACGTGGTTGATGCCGATGTGTTGCTTAGGTCATTTTCGGCCTTTGGTTAACGTAAACGATAATGAGCACATGCACCCACCACATACGTTTTGTCGAATGAAACGAACCAACTCGCACTTAATTACCTCATTTCTTATCGCATCGCATTGAATCATGGCGTTCGCATTTTCGGTTCTCGGCGGAGGAGGTGGAAAGTCCATTGCACTACGATCCTATTGAGATAACGTCAAGAAGAAAGAAAGTTCTCTGTAATCGGGTATTTTGATAAGTAAGTTCTAGGCCACGGGGTATGCTCGTCTGACATACCTCTCGAACTTCCAATTTTCGCCCGTGCCATTCGTAACCGTCAAACGTTGCTAAATTTGTGAAACGGATGGACCGATATTAGCCATACCGAGAATCCAACACTCTAGCTACGAATACGCATGATCTTCATGTCCCCTCATTAATAATTAAACAATCAAAATCCCTCACATATTGCTTTTTGCGCGTCTGCCACCGTCGCATAGAGCACAATGCCGTGTCCTTTTGACCGACCATCGCGGCCCTGCATGATGTTTGCACGTTGTACGTTTCCGGCCGATCGAAATAGATCCTAAGAGGAATTGATCCAGCGATGAGTAGTTAGAATCTACCGCTGAAAAGGCGTGAAACAAACGATCGAGAAAGAGATCGATCAACCTTCAAGTCCTGCCAGCCCACTGTTCGACGGATGAAGGTAGGCAAAGGCAAAAATTGTGAGAATGATGGAGATGATTAACAAAAGAAAAAGATATTTAGAATCGAAGAGACGCGTGATTCCCACTAACCTACAAATGGAAGCTGTGGATCCGCGAAATGATGAATCAAGGCGAATAGGATGTGTGAGTTTGGAAATTTGTCAAAAGGTCATTCAACCAACCAATGCAAAACAAGCACACTCACATTTCCAACAAATAATTGCCTGCCCTTAATTGTCATTATTTACAAAGTAACTTGTATAGTTAAAAAAAGGTTTCTTTTAGATTATTTTTTTTTTTGAGGAGTGAATACTTTTGAGTAAAAGAGAAGTCGTGTCGGGAGAATTTTACAAGTGTTTTATGAAACCGAGACGCGAACCCTCTGTCACGACCGCGTTATAAAATTGTTCCTTGTCCTCAAAAAGAAAAAAGATAAACCGGGAAAGTGCGCAACCAATTTTATTATTATTATTTTTTTTTTTCTTCGTGAATTATTTTACAACCCGTTCGCCGGAAGAAGACGACAAACAGATATGGTAAAAGGGAAAGGTGAAGGAAATATACAAGAAGCGAAATCAAAGGTGGAGGAGAGAGAGAAGAAGCGCGACAGATAAAAGATAAACTCGAGTTGTCCAGTACTCACAAAACTTTGCATGAAACCAGGAGACGAGCTTAGCACACTGGACACAGTCTAAAGAGATTGCACCGGTAAATCAGTCAGGAAAACTGTAATCATCTTTCGCATAAGCAGAATGCATATTATTCAGGTACCAGATAAATTTACGAAATAGACAAGACCTTTACGTACTTTCACTTTTCTCAGAGAAGATAGGTCGTTTGCATTTAGATATGACACATACTCGAAGATAACTAGACGTCTCGTTAACTTGCGTGTAGAAATCACCTTCCCACAGGAAAAAAAAAAATTTTTTTTTTTGTATTGTAATTATACTTAAAAAAATTTTATTGATTTTGACACAGTATGGACGAATGATACGTAACAATAACGAATAGATGGTTGGTCGGAAATAGCGAAAACTCTGTATGTACGTAAGTACCATCGTGGGATTCCATTGGGCGAGAATTCAGGCTTTTCCCGGTGTGGCTTGACAAATTAGGGGTGGGCGCGGCATAACACCTGACACGGCATCATTCGCCAACTCAATTTGGCGAACAAATGCAGGACCATCATAACGTTCAAGATGTTGCTCTCGCGGCTTTTCACGCGCCATCTGTACATTTCAGTAATTGAACCGTGCAAATTATAGCATATGCATGAAAAAGAAGAAAGCAGTCCGCCGACTTTTTTTTAGCTTCTAAAATGCAAAATCGCTCAAATTTCGTTGATCCTGACCAACGAACGCTCCCTCCCCTGTCTCCCTTCCCATCTCCTCCTCTTCCGCAGTTTTCTCTCTTCTCAACTTAATTGGCCTTGGTGGATCCTGCGATGTGCGACACCTTTCGCACACACATTTTCTATAAATAAATCGGTCAAAGGGGCAAGGAATAAACATCAGATTGCCGTAATTGGGAGTGATTGACAAGGATTAAAATGCCCTACACGTCCATTTTCTCGTTGCTTCGAGAATGCACCTCCACAGCCGTGGTCTTCATCTCGCATTGAATGCAATCGATGATGCAACGTTTTAACGTTGGATCCAACGCGAGATTGGTTTCAAGCGATTCACAGAGATTGCTAATCGCAAATAAAAAAACATTAGTTGCATACGATCGGCTCCACATTCATATGGAATTCCTATTTATGCCTCAAACCTAGCTTACTTTGATCCACGCGAAAAAACCTTGACAAAAACCCGTCGATCTTCTTGCTGGGCTTCCTCATAATAACGACAGGTGGGACAACACATCAAAAGCCTCTCGCTACCGTGATTGATGATTGGCCTTAACAAATTGCGACTGCATAAAACAATGCTTAGGTTAAAATGCACAAGCAGTAGATCTACCAGAAATGTTTGTATTTTCATTCACCAAGTAGCACAAAATCTTGTCGATGTCAACGGTTGGGACATGTTTCACGTAAAAAAGAAATCTTAATAAAATTTATTATTATATAAAAACAAACAGTCGGAAGAAACACTACGTAGTTATCTTTTTTTAATCATGACGTATCGCATTCTTCGGTCACATCTTGATGCAAAGACATGACGACACATGGAGTGACGTGTTATACTCGTGCTGGATTTTAATTTTCAGCATCCTTTCAATAAAAATTCTATGTTACAAGGAATGGTGTGCATAATATCAAATATGGAAAACCAGGCGAAATTTTATATGCAGTCGATCATGCACAAAATTACACATCAATGATATTACTACTTCTCTAACTTAAATTCGTAATTCAACCTGCGAATTGATCGTCACGCAAATCTCCTGTACAACCTTTATGAAAAGGGAGGGTTGACCGACCAACACGCGTAAAAGAGGAAATGTTAAGAGAAGGAAGGTTCTGACTTGAACCTATTTTCTCTCGTTATACCCAATAAATGTATTATCATCATCCAAATTAGCCAATAGGTCATCAATATTTAATTCGTCAATCGTGGTCGTGCTCTCATCATCATCATCCTTTTCCTCCATACTTGTTTTCAATTGGTTAGTATCTCGCGTGCTCAAAGCTTCTCGATTATCTGTGTATTCCCTTGCGTAATATTGAGAGGGGTATTGTACCATCGGGGGGACGTATGGCGTCACTGTTTTCGTGGTTTTTGCCGTGGAGGCGCGTGCCTTATGCGTCTCCTCATCTTTGTGAGTGTCAGCATTCGCGGATTTTCCACTATCCATGATACTGAACAACATCTGACGATCTTGTTCCGTCGGATTGAAATTCGCATCATAATACGAAAGAAAATCATCACCCGTCCCGTTCTCCAGTTCAAGGTCGTCATTAGTTTCGGGGTCATATCCCAATTGAGCTGTGAGAGACGTCAAATAATCAACATTGGAATCCAATGCGTTTATTCTCTCCTCAATGTTGTTAATGGCCCCGTTTGTATTAAAGATGGATTCATTTTGATCGAGTAAACTCGGAGCCCCTGGTACAACATTGTTTTTTATCGCTCGTTGTTCTGGCACCTTATATTGTGCATTGATAGTATCGGATGATGTATTATTATTGGGAATAGAAGCGGAAGCTGCGCTTGAGACCAGAGATTCCGAATTGAGCGTTTTCTCATTGGCAAGGGTGGATGATGACGATGAATCGTCACTTGAAGGTGCCGTTTGATTGAGAACTTGGTCAGACTGAGGTTGAAGCAAGCTGGAGAAGTTGGATGGATCCAAGAAATCATCGATCGCATCTGATGATGTAGTGGATAAAGAGTTGAGAAGATCAAGTTGAGGCAGATTATTGGTTGACGTGGGATCATTCACGGCGAGAGATGCAAGTATGGACAATGCCGCTATGAAAATCAATCCATCATTATTCTCAGTAAGTAAGATGAAGTGTGAAGAAAAAAAAAAAGGAAAGAAAAAAAAAGGAAAAGAAAAAAAAAAGAAAGAAAAAATGGAAAGAGGAAACGATAATTAAAAAGATTTCTCAATTACCTGGATTGTTCATTAAGCGATTTAACTCGTTTTCGGATGCTGAGGGATTAGAGTTCGCGACACCCTGCCCCTCATCACCCAAAGCCCAATTACTCAACGATCCTATCATTTCTTGATTTCCATAGTCTGTGTCAGAGTTTCCGAGCAACAATCGTCTTTTCTTTGGCACGATAGCCCTCTTTTTGTCCGCGGAAAATACAGACGCAAGAAACCTCAAAATCTTGTCAATCGTTTCCTGTTGACGACGATGTCTATCACGTGCCGTCACCGTTTCTTGCCACAGAATTTGATTGTCCCTTTGAATATTCTTCAAATCCACGCTGATGGTCATTTGATGTTTCTTGATTGAAGCAATCTCATTTAATATATGATTAAGATCGACTTCATTGGGTTCTTTAATGTTTTCCGTATCCTTCCCTTTCTTGCGAGTGACAAAGTATAGAAGATCAGGTTGATTCCTGAGGAAATTCGAGTTGCTAAACTCCCATTGCTCGGATTGTCCGTCAGATTGGAGTACCC